TATATATATATATTCGAATGTGAATTTAATTTTAAGAATTTATTTATTTGAATATTAATTATTAAAAACAACAATAAATAAGAAATATTGCATCATTTTACCATAATAAGAAAAGAAAGACCAAAATTCAGCAATATTCAATGTGAAAACAATACCTCTCTGTAAAGTTGGCCTCAACATTTTCAGCTGGAATAGTATGTACTCCTTTTAGTGTAATGTAGATTTTGACAAATTTGTCAGACTGGTCCCATCCTAAGACACAAAAAAACATTGACAGGTGTATTAGACCAAGCATATCATTATGGAATAGCCTATGCCTATTATCACGAGGTATGAACGCACCATAATTATTAATTTTGACTGTGTATCCTTTGAGTATTGTGTCAGTTTTGTCTCCAGAGTCTTTCTTGGATTGCTGCAGTTTCTGCTGTCGTTTCTGCGCCAGCTCTTTCTCTACACAGTATTAAGAACCAAGGGTTCCCAAACTTTTGAAGGGGGTTATTTTAATAATTTCAGCTATTTTTTTTGTCTTGTGGACTATATGTAAACATCTTTTATGTAAAATATCTTACTCAGGACAGTACTAAATAAAAAATTACATGCATTTTGTATGTAAATTACATGCATTTCAAATTTTCACAGATTCTGCAAGGGGTTTCCAAACTTTTGCATGCCACCGTGTGATTTGCAAAAACAGATAACTCCATATTGTGTCAGTTTTGTCTCCAGAGTCTTTCTTGGCTTGCTGCAGTTTCTGCTGTCGTTTCTGCGCCAGCTCTTTCTCTATCTTCTTCTGCTCTTGCGTTAACACGTCCCGCACGCGCTGGCGTTCACATTTCTCCAGCAGACTCGTGATCTCTTTAAGATCACTCTCAAGACCGGCGATCTAAAGACACAACGTCAAATCTGAGAACAAGTAAAGAAGCACGTTTACATGTTCAGCACAAGTGAGATCAGCAGGCAGCTGTCATCTCAGAGCCATACTTAATTCACCCAATGTGTATATGTCCTATAAAACATCCTAGTAGAACAGGAGTTTCATTCACATTCATACGCTTCTGTATATCAGTGCATGAGGCTTTACAGTACAATGAAAACGAAGCCTGGCGGCTGGCAAGACTGCTATCACTATAAGTTACATGGAACTAAAATGAATAACATACACACACACGCACACACACACAGTCCATTATACCAGCTCATTGATGTCCATCGCTGCCTTGAAGAAACCTTAGGAAACTACCTTCTGCAGTTTTTAATTGAAGTAATGGAAATGAACTTTGCTTTCAATCGGGCGCTGCTCGTCCGCTGATATATGCATTCAACGTTGTTTCTAGAAGGATTCTTGCTTCCGCGTTATGTGATGTCAAAATAAAAGACCTCATTTTAGTTGCCTTTGATAAATGACCGCAATTACACTACTAAATAATTCTTACAAAAACCGAATGTTCATATTCATGAGAAGAGAAAAAAAAAGAAAAAGAATTACAATGTTTCAAATTTATTACATTACATATGGGATAAAATGATTCTTAACATAACAAATTACAAAAATATACACTAAATTTAAAAATGTAAATGTACTCATAACTTTCAAGATTTATTACAGCAACCAGAAAACATTCTAATATACTCAAAACATTTACTAGTTAACAAGAAAATTTGTCGACATACAAATAAGAATGAAAATTTAATTTACAATAAATTATTTAAAGCTCTCTGTGTTGTTGATAAAATGTGTCTTTTGTATTTTTTGTCAAATTAGTCAAAAAATATAATATTCTAGTGTGTGACACCAAATAAAGAGATAATCAATAAGTTAAAAGGTTATATACCAGTAACCTAAAAAATAAAAATGAAAATAAAATCACAAAACACAAAAAGTAGCACATTACACCTTTTTATTGTGTCTACAATAAAATAATTTACATAATTTGCCATCATTTGAAAATGAAAAAAAAAAAAAGTGACAATGTGAAATCTTAACCAATTTAGTAGAAAAAAAAATACAACATTTGAGCAGGTGCTTGTTGGTTTTCCAGCTCTGTGTCTTTATTTTATGCAAGAATATCTTCTCTTTTAAGACAAGGTTTTAGAACAATCCCATGGCTGATCACCACATTGATCTCTGTATTCCAGACATCTGGTTGTGGTCCGCTAAATGCCGAAAAACAATGCGACTGAGACGCCACCTGCGCTTCACTCCACGAGGACGTGATGTCATCACACACCTGTTGCGAATGCGCACAGGACAACTGTCTCGGGGTAGTGCAGCTATTTCTTTATCAGCTATCTCCTGAGGAAATAAACATGAGAGACATGGCCTGTATTATTATCAATATTTTGACATTTAATTTATTCATTCATTGCAAGTCAAAATAAAGGTTAATGACTGTGTAAATGGATTTAAAATCCTGACAAAAAAATCCAATCATGTACATGGAAAACAATCTAAAGAGGGTATAAACTTCCATCGAATGGAAACTGCAAGACTTTGAATGTAACAGTTACCTGTAGCTCTTTTGGCAAAATAGTATTCTTCCTAATGGCATTGATGCGCAGTCTTGTATCTGCATATTCAAATGCCACTTGTCTCCTTTTCACATCCCGTACCATCCTCCAGTCAACATAGTAGCTCCTGACCTGCTCCACCACTCCAAGTGAACTTCTGTAGGCCTGAAGAACATCAGAGGAGATTTTACATTTGAATACGTGTATATTTGAAATACACCTAGTCAAAAACCCAAAACAAATGACAAAAAAAAAAAAGTTAGTAAACTAAATGTCACTATGTCTTGGTGTATCTTATTACAGTCTAACGTGATTGCAATCGAAATACAACACCATTCAAACACAAATACAATGCATTCAAAGTCCTAACAGACTTTGAATTTACAAATCTGATTTTTTCTAAAGTGAATTTACCTGTCTACAAATCGGCAAGGACGACTGCAGAAACCCCATGCCCGTGCTGAGGAGCTTCCATGCCGCCATGTTGATCCAGCCCTAACCTCGAGGGTGGTTTGAAGGGTAAGAATTGTGTTTAGTATATCGTTACCGCCATCTCCTGGTCATATTAAATGTTCATTCGAGATTTGGGGGTTGGGGTTTGTCCTCACTCAAAACTCTAAGCAAAACACAGTAGTTAACAATTTGCAAAAGTTATGATACTTTGTTGTTATACGATATAGCCGACAATATTATCGAAAACTGGCTTTGTCTGAATGTCATGGCGAATCATATAGACTTCGATTCATTTTTGAAAAGTCCACAGAGAATTGTAGCTCTGAGCATCTATCAGCCATGAAAATAATAGTGTAACATACAAAAAAAAAAGTTTCATAAGACAAAATAATCAGTAAAATCACAAAGTATGAACAGCAGTAATACTTTGTGTGTAATTGCAATACTTAGCCAGATAGTGGCAGAATGTCGCTACCAATTCAACAACACCAGACTCGTCAAAGGATTAAACTAACAAACGAGCTTTAAATGTAGTAGTACACTTTGACAAAATCTGTATGATCTGTATACTTAAAGCCTTAAATACCTGTCATATAGGTTATATGAACCTATGAATTTAAAGCAGTTCTTAACCTTTATTTTGACTCCAAGACCTCCTATTGCCCACAACAATATTCTATTTATTTATATTTTACTCACAATTTCTATTCAATAAAATATATCTTAAAGCTTGGCATTTTAATTCAGCAAAAACATTTAGCATCCGTTGGCTCAATTTTACAGGCTGGTCTTCACAAATGACATTTTCAGACTTGAAAATGCATCAGGACACATGAACAATCGCACCTCGGAGACCTTTGAGATATTGTGAGGTGACCTGCATCCTGCACCTGCATTGTGTTAGTAGTAGTTCAAGACAAGAGAAACAAGCTCTCTTCGAGACAATTGCCTGATTGTAATGCTGACTGGCTGTGCAAATAGGAAATCTGGGCACGTTTAGACAGCAAATTTGTTGAGCATATTATAGGCCTACAAAGTATAAGAATAAACAGGGGACATAGTGAACCTTCTGTTTTAAAATTCCTCCCTCACAGCTTGATATCAGAGGTAAGTTTCCTCATTTTGTGTCTGCTAACATTTTTTTTGTTTTTTTTAAGCCAGCACTTCCATAACATACTAAATGAAGATTACTTTGCCATTTCTTATGCTCATCTACCATTCTGTCATTACAACAGGATAAATCCCCCCAATAAAACAATGCAACTGAAAAGAAGAAAAAAGCAGACGACAACAAAATAACAACCAACAAACAGCTTGTTATGTGCTTCTCTGCATGACACTGGTTAGAGTTCAACCCCAAGGCATTCATAAAAAATGGTTCTAGTAAATTCCTGTAGAATTTCCCAAGCAATCGGCCTTTGTTAAAAGATACAAGGAGACGTGTTCTGAGAAAAATACTAACATATGTCAAATTGCACAACTTCACAAAGAAGATCCATTATGTAAATTAAAGTGGAAAACAGATCTCGTGAGGTCTAGACACCAGGTAATGCTTCTATAAACCAATTGTTATGATGTGAGGTTAACTTAAATAAATGAATAGGAATAGAAAGGGAACATAACTAATTTTAACCCATGTAAGCCTGCAGGCAACTAAAGTTGCTGAAGGCTCTACCCATATTTTTCCATTTGGAAATATTTTTTTGTGTGACAATACTTCAAAAACCACTGCTGTACAAGCAGACAATCTTAGGAAGAGCTTTTGACAACTTGCTAGAAATGATGCCATGTGGTGATGTTTAATTCATGAGCCATTCCTGGATGTTTACTCAGAAATATACCTGTCAACTTTAGTGACCAGTGAGCAAAAATCCTAGAATCTTTGCATTAGTTTCTATGGGAGTGCATATTACTAAATATACCATCATCTTTACATGAAAAATACTCTTTTAAAAACTCCACATATATAAAACATTGCGCAAATAATTCTATTTAGGATATGCTTTGGAAATATCTGGGCATTAATGCTGTTGATCTACTGTAGATAGAAAATTCACAGCATAGTTCTATTTATTTTAAACTTACCAATATAAAGCAGAATGCCATACTGTGTCATGCATGTGCTGCTTTTCTGAAGCTGAATCTAATATCTGCAACTCTGATCTTCTGAAGATTTCTGAAGCGTAGGCTTCAAACATATTTAGTAAATTTCCTGCTGTTCGCAGGCCACTTGAAATCCCACTAGTTGCTTTTAAATGAGATCAATCCTTTCCAAAAACAAAGCAGATTCGGTCTGCGCTTTGTTCTTTAACAAATAAAAAATGAATCATAGTGGTGTGAAGGGCTTCACTTCCACTGAATTCATATTCAGACATTCCCGATTGACTCACCAATGGGGTGTGAAAATGAGAAACAAAACTGAACCTTGCATGATGTGAAACCAAATGAGTTTGAGGTTGACATTTTGTAAGCTAAAATTGCTGTTTAATGTTTTTAACCTGTGCAAAAAGTATTTTTGTGTGAATTCTCTCAGATTTACTTTATAGAAAAGAGATTAAAAGGTCATATTCTTTTTATATTAGCATCTCCACTGGTTCATTTAAACAACATCCCAAAGAGCTCAAATGAGTTTCACTTTTACAGTGTCCTGTTTGATTTTCATGAGCTACTTGTGTGGGCTGTTCATTCTGACGTCACTATTAAGCCTTGCAAAGTCAGCATTTGAACACACTGCAGAAAAGAAGCTGGCAGTCTAGTATGTGTGGGTACTTCAGTTTTTATATGAGCTCAGAGAAAGTGAAATGGAAGAACGTTTGCAAAATGATTTAGTCTGCTTGTGCTAAACATGGTTCAGCATCTAAATATTACTATGTCTGTTATTTTGATCAGTTCTCTTATGCCCTTCATGTAGAGCTGGAAATATTGTAATTACAAGTTACAAGCAAATGAATGACTGAACAAAATCATATTTACAAGTGGGAAAGACATGATTTGTCGAGTTGGAATAGGGCATGACAATTTTTAAACATTACGAAAACACTTGTAAAACAGTAGGAAGCATGTCTGTAGTGAATTATAATGTATAATTTAGCAAGTTGTTTTAATTTGATATGCAGAACCTCAGTCATCATGGTTTGCTTTGTGTAACACAAACATTTAGTTTTTAAACCATGTATAAATTAGTGATATAGGAATGAATATTTTTCAGCATTTTGAATTCAGATGTTGGTATTTGGATTTATTTTTCAAATAATTAATAAAAAAAAAAAAAATTTTTTTAGGCTACTTCCGACTTCAATGCGTGACATGTCTATGTAATGAATGCACAACTTGGAGTTCCCCAGGTGCACTTGAAGGCAGCATCTTTCAAAAAGTTCCCACAAATTTCACTTGAAGAA